TCTCCCGCCTTCCTCTTCCTCTTCTTTTTAAATCAAAGGACTCTGATAGTAAAAGATGTGATTCTGACTTGATAAGCATTTTGGAATTCTGGGGTCCTGAGAGTGGAATGCAGGATTGTTATGCTGCAGCGAGAACACAGCAGACACAGAGAGAGGCCGGCGTAGATGGAGTGTTTATTGAATGCCTGTTGTGTGCCTCATACTGTCTGAGCTGCACTTTTCCAATTGTTTCAGTGAATAGCAACGCTCTCTTCATCCCCATCCTAAGTACAGTCATGTGTCACTAGCCATAGGGGTGCATTCAGAGTAATGATTTGTTAGGCAGTTTCATTGTTGTGCAGACACCATGGAGTGTAGCTACACAAACCTACATGGTGTAGCCTCCTGCATAGCTGTGCCATATTGCTCTTGCCACCCTGGTCAGCATGTCTCTAGCCTGTCTATCATAGGCAGCTGTAACACAATGGTATTTGTGTATCTTAATATGGAAAAGGCACAGAAAAATACCATAAAAAGACTTAAAAATATATAGTGCATCTGTATAGGACACTTGCCATGGAAGATAGTAAGTAGACTAGGAGTTGGTTTGTGTGAGTTCGTGACTGTTGAGTGAATGTGAAGGCCTTAGTGGGTGGTCTGGGCACTGCCAAGGGATCCACAAGCAGGACTTGAAATTCAATAAATTTACAGCAGCCTGACTTTTAAGATGATGATTTTTATATGGCCCATGAATGGCGTCATAAATGTCCAAATGACACTCTGTCGAAATAAAGGTTTTAGGCCCTACAACACTGAACACTATGTACTTCTTAATCACTGTACACTTAGGCTACACTACAGCTTGTTAAAAATGTTTAACAGTAGCTTAACTTCAACTTAGAGTAATTGATTTTACTTTCTAAACTCCTTGACTCTTGTCAAAACACACACACTGTGGGGTGAATGTTGTGGTACAGGAGGCTGAACTGCCACCTGGGACGCCTTCACCCTGTAACAGAGCACCTGGGGTGGAATCCTGCCTCTGACCCGGCTGCTTGCTAACATGCCTGGGAGGCAGCAGATGACGGCCCAAGTGCATGGCTTCCTGCCGTTCGTGTGGGTGATCCTGATGGAGCTCTTGGCTCTTGGCGGCAGCCTGTCCGAATCCTGTCTGTTGGGAGCATTTTTGGGCCAATGGGAGGTTCTTTCTCTCTTGCTGTGTGTGTATGTGTGTTTCTTTCTCTCTCTGATATTATGCTTTTGAAATAAACAGTAACTTGAAAAAAAAATGAACATCTGAACAAAAGATATCTTTTATATCCTTGCACTTTAAGGTTCTTCTATTTAGAACCTTTTAAGGTTTCCAATCTCTTTTTAACAGATTAACTAATCTTGTTAAGCTAATTTCCCCCGCCCCACATTTTTATAAAAGACCTTAAGATTTCCAAGTCACTCATAAGAATAAAGGATCTACAGAGAAAAAAGGCAGAAAACAAGGGTCCCCAGCCCAGTAGTGAAATCTTTTTATGGCGGAGGTGAGGTGTCTGTTACAATCCTCGCTCTCTCCCGAGTTTGGCAATGGATAGGAGTTAACAAGGTTTCGCACTTCTCTTGTGGCTGCTGGGAATGTGGGTTAAGTGAGAGGTGCTATTAAACAATTCAGGAAATTACTGTTGTCCTTCTGAACACATGGAGGTTTATAAAAATATTATTTAGGATGAAGAAAGGCAACAGCTCTGATCATCACTCCTCAGCCCTCTGCTTAGCCAGCTGTGCAGCAGTCCTGGCTGGCGTCATCTGGGATGAGGCAAGCAGGGCTGTCTGTCAGTTGAGCCGTGGCTTGTTTCCTTCAGCCCCTTTGGAAATGACACGTACCCTGATGATCGATTTCATGAGGACTAATTGGTCGTTTCTGTCTCCCTTCATTCAAGCTGAGTGAGATACTCAAATTTGGTTTGGATAAACTGCTCTCCTCGGAGGGAAGCACCGTGGATGAAATAGACCTGGAGTCCATCCTGGGAGGAACAGAAGATGGACAGTGGGTCTCTGATGCCTTGCCAGCTGCTGAAGGAAGGAATGAAGAGCAAGAGGAAGGAAGTAAGTTGGGGGCAGGTTGCAGCCAACGGCACAGCCACTGCAGCTACAGTGTGCGTGATGTGAGTAGCCACGGGAAGTCCAGCCCATTGCTCCTGGGCCCTGTTACCATCTAGAGAACATTGCATGGTGCAAGAAATCTTCCCAGACTGAGTGGAAATTTAGTCTAGAAATCTAGTTCCCTTGTAGCTGAGCTTTGGTCAGGAGTCATGCTGTTGATGTTGTTGACGTATCCCTCTCAAGGATTGGGATTTGAGTCTGTCCTCCCCTGGCTACAAGCATCCATTCCTTTGTTAATTACTAACTGATGGTGACCCCCACGCAGTGAAATCCCAGCTTGTGCTCATGGAGCTTTTACTGTGTGCCCACGAGTGGATGTGTGCCATGCGGTCTTTCCATCTAACCTCCATGATACTATGTGAGGTGTCAGAAATGATTTTGTCTTTTTCTGCCCTCCCCCTCCATTTGTCTTTCTGTTTTTTTTTTCTTTTTTTCTTTTTTGAGTTTTGGATTCTGGGTGCTTTTCCACATAGTGGTAGCTCTATACAAATGCTCTTGACATTGCTACTTTGAACTGACTGTTTTCCTGTGTGGTGGCAGCAGGGATTCGGGGTGGACTGGAGTGAGAGGTTTGAGAATCTTGCCTGACTTCTTGATCCAAGGGAACCGCCTTCCAGTGATAGAGGGAAGTGCAGTTTCCTCACCAGGTGGCACCTTCTGTTCTTGCTGCGGAGTGGGCGTGGTGTGACTTTGAATTTTACGAGTCTCTCTTGTTTCTATAGAACCCGAATTTCCATCACTTGCTGCTTTCTTTCCCTCTGCCACAGAGTCTCCAAGGGCTGACTCTCACTTCTGAGTCTGCCGCAGGTCCTGCCTTGTCTAGTTTCCACTTGAGGGTTTTCTAGTCCTTTCTGCTTCTCAGGGGCTGCTCTTCTGGTCTACCAGGTCTCAGACCTGTCCTCGTTTTTATCCCCTTTGGGAAGGGGGTGACACTCTAGGGGATAAATTGGATCTGTGTGACATGGCCAGAGCCCGGTGTCTTCTGTGCAGTCTCGGCCTTTCTGGTTTGGGGAAGGAGGAACCCGGGAGCTTGTAGAGCTGGTTCTGGATGCTCGTTACTTTAGGTGCAAACTGAAGTCTATAGTATTCGTCGACCGCACCAGGTTTGTAGCAGACATAAGTTAAGGTAGGTTTTATTAGTCCTTGTTAGTCTGTTTGGTTTGAAATGTAGGCATTGTTTTACATTAAACTGCTCTTTTGGTTCTTCTCATATTTTATCTTTAAATGTCTTTAATTTGTACATTGCTGTTTATATTCTTTAAGAATTCCTTCTTGCTCTCTGGCTGTTTTCATTGTATCCTGCTCTCATTTCAAGAACATGATATCATGAGGACATCTGTTATCATTTTAGACTCTTTAATTGTATTGATCGTTTTTTAAAGATTTATTTATTTCTGTTGGAAAGCCTGATATACAGAGAGGAAGTTCTTCCATCCAATGATTCACTCACCAAACGGCCGCAACAGCCAGAGCTGAGCTGTTCTGAAGCCAGGAACCAGGAGCTCTTCCGGTTCTCCCACATGGCTGCAGGGTCCCAAGGCTTTGGGCCTTCCTTGACTGCTTCCCCTAGGCCACAAGGTGGGAGCTGGATGGAAAGTGGAGCAGCTGGGACAGTATGGTGCCCATATGGGATCCTGGCACATGCATGGTGAAGATTTCTAGCCACTAAGTTATTGCATTGGACCTGACAGTTTTTATTTTATTATTTGATTTTTTTAAATGTTTGGTGTCATCCAGTGATCTGGTTACCTGTGCTGCCTGAAGCACTGATGCGTAGCTCTGGCATGAGCAGGGACGCGGCCTTTAGGCCTTGTTTCAGCATTATTGTTTATGAAGCAGCTTGAATGAAGTTTCCCAGCTGTCCTTATTTGAAGTCTTTTTCACTGGGCAGTTCCTTTTCTCCAGAGCCGAATCCTCCAGTGCCTCCCTTGGAAGAGGCAAGGGTCAGAAGAAAACTGGTCTCTTACCTCGAAAAGACACAGTGATGGGAGGCTCATGGTGTTTCCACTGTTTGCTGTGTTCAGCTTTTCTCATTAGTTCCCTGGCTGAGTGGTCCCCTTTTCTTGTTAAGTTCTAAGCTTTTGGACACAGTAGTAGGAGTGTTTGGCCCCTGAAATCATTTAGTCTAGCCCTACTAAGGCAACCACAGGCAGTAGCACTTCAAATGAAAAAGTTTACAGCAAATTAATTTTTAAAGTTGATAACCTAGTATGGCCCACAAGCGGTGTCATTAAAATCTAAATGACCCTTGGCAGGACGAAGGGTTGCCCACCCCTGCGTGATCGAGGGATTCTCTAGTCTCAGACTCACCACTTGACTGGCCATTTGTACTTTGCTTGCAGAGCTTGTGTTAATCTGTGATTTTTTTTTCCCTCCAGCAATTTTACATTTTCCAGTTGTTGAACTTTTCCTCAACTATCGACTCATAATTTTTTAAAAAATCCCTTTCCTGTCATTTCATGGTTTTAGCTAAGAAACAAATGCCTTAAGTCGTTATATTTTTAAAAATATTTATTTATTGGAAAGGCAGATATATAGAGAAGAGGAAAGACAAAGAGGAAATCTTCCATCCAATGATTCACTCCCCAAGTGGCAGTAATGGCTGAAGCTGCGCCGGTCTGAAGCCAGGAGCCAGGAGTCTCCTCTGATTCTCCCATTCGGGCACCAAGTCCCAAGGCCTGAACTGCTTTCCGAGGCCACAAGCAGGAAGCTGGCTGGGAAGAGGGGCTGCTGGGATAAGAACCAGCGCCCATATGGGATCCTGGCGTGTACAAGGCAAGGACTTTAGCCACTAGGCTACTGTGCTGGGCCCGCATCATTGTATTTTTAAGTTACATGTTGATCATATTAAATGCCAAAGCTCTTCCACTTATTTCCACATTCACTTAATTTGCGTGTCTTCCTTGCACAGGGACCATGCAAATCTTCCCTGTATCATTCCAATTTTAGTATATGTGCTGCTGAAGCGAGCACTCCACATTCACTTAATTTCAGCTTATTTTCCTAATGTTTACTAGAAAATAAGATAGTTGCACTGTTTTCAGAAAGATAATTGTATTTTAAAGACTTATTTATTTTTTATTGCAAAGTCAGATATACAGAGAGAGGAGAGACAGAAAGGAAGATCTTCCGCCCGATGATTCATTCCCAAGTGGCCTCAATGGCCGGTGCTGCACCAATCCAGAGCCAGGAACCAGGAATTTCCTCCAGGTCTCCCACGTGGGTGCAGGGTCCCAAGGCTTTGGGCCGTCCTTGAATGCTTTCCCAGGCCACAAGCAGGGAGCTGGATGGGAAGTGAGGCTGCTGGGATTAGAACTGGTGCCCATATGGGATGTAGAGCGAGGACTTTAACTGCCAGAGCACCATGCGGCCTGATAATTGTATTTCTTAATCCAGCTACCTAAAAAGAAATGACATTGTTTTCAGATAGCCCAACTGCCAGTGGCGTTCCTCAGCTGTTGTACAGTTCAGATTTTGTCTTGGACCCAGGGGTCTGGGTTCGCTGTGTGGTGGATGGTTGCCATGACAGGACTCCGATGAGGGTCTACACCTGGTGCAGTCCACCGGCTGCAGAGTGAAGACAGGGCGCATAATTTTAAAAAAAATTAACAAATGTGAAAGACTAGTAAATAAAGCAGCCCCAATCAAATAAGGAAAATGAAGAGCAAGGTTGCTTTATCTGGGATGCCAGCGTGTTTTGAAATGCATGTTTCTAAGTTGAGAATTGAGTGCAGTCTGAAGCTACATATGCTGATCATATCTGACACTTCGCAGCTCTCTTTTTTTCTTCCACTTGTTGATAGAGTGCCTCATTGAAAGCCCCCTGCTGATTTAATTAGCAAATGCCAATTAGAATTACAGCTGGTTAGATTTGGGTACAAGTGTGAAGCAATTGATCTCTGGAGAATGATAATGTTTTGCTTTCATACTCTCTAGGGAAAACACACTTATAGCTGATTTCATAATGCTGTGAAAATACCATTATTTGGTAACATGTGCTGTTAAACATGGTTCGCTGTTGAATCTTGCTCTTTCCGGTCTCTGGCTGCTAGTCTTGGCCTGCCATGACTGGATGCCTCATCTTGCAGATCACCCAGCCTCGTTGAGCCTTTGTGTCCTCAGCTGTAAATGGTGCTGTTAATGTTTGTTGGCTTTCCTCTTGACAGCTGTAAGACCGCAAGGTGATCACAGGTGCAAAGTGTTCTGATAGCTTGTTGTCTCTGCACTCTTCTGCAGACACTGTGATATACTGAAAAGAGCAGCCTGGCCTTACACTGTTCAGAAACATCCCGCCTTCATTGGCCCGCACTGAGAGTTGGGAAGCCCCTTATCCTGCCTGAGCCTCACTTTCCGTATATAGCATCATGATGTTGCTGCATGAGATCTAGAAAGAGCATTCTAAATCCAAGGGATCATTGTCATAATTCTTTATTTGCTCAGAGATTGTTCATGTACTCCTTTTGATGTTATAGGAAAAGGAGAGAAATTGTTGAGCATTAAACGTACATTTAGGGGCCAGGATTGTGGCGTATCAGATGAAGCTGCCACCTGTGACACTGGCATTCCATGGAAATGCTGGTTTGAATCCTGGCTTCTCCATTTCCAATCTGGCACTCTGATCATGGCCTGGGAAAAGTAGTGATAGAGGACCCTAGTGTCTTGGAGCCCTGTACTCCAAGAGGAAGACCTGAATGAAGCTCCCGGCCTGCCTTCGGCCTGGCCCAGTGCTGGCTGTTGAGGTCATCTGAGGAGTGAGCCAGTGAATGGAAGATCTCGTTCTTTCTTTCCATTTCTCTCTCTGTAACTCTCAAATAAATGTATGAATCTTTGAAAAATAATGTGTTTGAAGTAAAAAAAAAAAAGTATAGGTTTATTAGAAGCTGTTAATGTGGTTGTGGAATGAGTGAGTGATAATGTGATCCAAGACTCAGCATTGAAGAGGGACCCGGCAGGGAATCCCAGATCGCTGAGGAATGAACCAAAAGGGTTCTTGCAAAGCAGACATGTGGGACCCTTTGTAGAGCCTGAAGATGTGTCAGTGCAGTGGGAAAAGGCATACCTTCCGCACACGCTGGCCTTTGCTCGTGTTCAGTACAGCCTGGTGCTGGCAGCAGCGTCCATCCGTTCTTCTGAATCAAACAGTTCTTTCTGTCTTTGTGTTCTCAGAAAACCACATGTACTTATTTGAAGGTAAAGATTATTCCAAAGAGCCCAGTAAGGAAGACAGAAGATCATTTGAACAACTGGTGGCGCTTCAGAAAACCCTTCTGGAGAAGACTCGTCAAGAGGGCCGGTCACTGCGAAACAGAGGCGGCGTAAGGACCATTCATTTATTAAGGGAGAGAGTACAATATGCTAAACTGTTTGCCTAAGAAGACAAACAAACTAAGGAAGCCATTTTTTTTCCCTTAGGATAACCTGTAAGAAATGAGTGTGTGTTTGTTGAAATGTAAGCATTATATAATGTATGCAAAATGTTGGCTTCAAAAGCATTGATGGGTAGAGGAATGGGCTTTGAGTTTCCTTTGTGCATTAGGGTGCCTGGCTGTGCCCTTAACTGCTCACTACAGGAGGCAGCAGGTGATGGCTTAAGCACACGCACTTCTGCTGCCTGTATGGCAGACCCAGCTGGAGTTTCTGGCTCCTGGTTTCGTCCCGGCCCTGCCCTGGCTGTCATGGGCATTTGGCAAGTGACGAGAGACCTGGCTATAGATCTTACTGTACCTGCAGGTACTTATCCCAGGCCTTGTGGAGGAGTCTGCCAAAAGGAGGCGCGTTCTGAGCCCAGAGGAGCTGGAGGACAGACGGAAGAAAAGACTAGAAGCAGCAGCCAAGAGGAAGAGGACGATGGAGGAGAACAGGAGGAAAAAGGAAGAAGCTGAGCAACAGAAAAAGTGCGTTTGTGTTATCAACCAAGGGCCGTGGGTGGCAAGGGAGTCGCTCTGGGCTAGTGAGCCTGCAGTTGAGCATCGCCGTAGGTGCAGGAAATGTCGGTAAAGTTAGCAGTTCTTGTGGGTCAAAGAATGCCTCCTAAAAGATTAAACTTTAATATTTACTTGACTTATGCCAAGAGTCTTGAAGATCACCAGCAAAGAAGATGAGTTCTGCTTAACAACAGTAAAACAAATTTCAGATATCCCTGAGTGTTTCTGACAAAGAGCAGTTTGTTTGAATGATCTCATTTAGTCCTGTCTTGTAATCGGGCACTTTAGGTAGGTGTTCACCATGGACAGCTAGTCAGGAGGCAGTCAGGTCATAAGCAGAGAACTGCGTCCAGGGGGCTTCTAATCGCATCTGGGAGCAGCAGTGCAAAACATGCACTAAGGAAAGGTCATGTCCTCTTCTCTGACCTGCTGAAGGATGGCCTGGTGGGAGTCCAACAACTACCAGTCCGTCTGCCTGCCCTCCGAGGAGAGCGAGCCGGAGGACCCCGAGGATGGGGAGGACGAGTGCTCTGCTGAGGTGGACTACGACGAGGACCCAGACACAACCTCCATTAAGTATGTCAGTGGTGACGTCACCCACCCTCAGGCCGGAGCCGAGGATGCCCTCATTGTGCACTGTGTAGGTAAGTGCCAGGAGCTGGGCCGTGGGCTGATGGCCCAAGTGTGCTAGTATGTGTTCCAAACACTTGTGCATTTTATAATCAGCATGTATCCATTTGTATCCTGAGAGTTGCCTGATCGTCTAAGTCTCGCCTTCCTATTCCATGTCCTGGGATAATACCTGCCTTATCCTTATGCAGAGGTTTGAAGAGGGAGAAGTGAGGCAAAGACACCACTCTGTGTTTTCCCTTACAACCTTTGTACTTCTTGTCTTCTCTGCCAGAAAACCTCTTTCCTCAAGTAACTACATCAGGCATTATCCACCCGTCTCATTGTCAGAAGTCCTCCTTGGTGGCCTTGTACATACAACGTGGCCCGGGTGCATGTCTCTTACTCTCGGTCCTCCTACACTGTTGGCCCTTACATATAGCAACCCCTGGCATTGTGTTTGCATTTATTTATTTGTCTCACTTATGCTTCGTGGGAACAGAGGATCTGTGTGTGTGTTCACTTCTCTAGCCATGGTGCCTTGGCATCAGGCCATCCCCTGTGGGAATGAATATTTGTAGTATGTGAGTATAAATACAGGACACTAGCCAGCACTGCTGTGCTTAGATCATCTATTAAACTTTCCCTCTTTCCTACCTGCAGAATGGGAATTATGTGTCCCTGTGTTTTCAGTACTTCATCTTTCCTGGTTACATGATATCTACTCTCCGTGTTTCCTCATCCCCTAGGATCTGCAGATGTACCACAGAGATTTTGCTGATTCAAAACACTGATTCCCCCACCCGCCCCCTGTTTTGATAGCCTGGTATATCTTTCAGACATTTTAAGCTTATTTAGATAGTCCATTCTGTATGATATTCCTTGAGGATCAGTTTTGTTCCTTTCCTCCCCTTTAAAAAAAAAATCATTCTTTACTGTATATCTGTGTTTTTCAAAAGGAAGGACTGCATTTTTGCCCCAATAGATGAACATTCTCTTTCTTCTGTCAGATGACTCTGGCCGCTGGGGCAGAGGTGGTTTATTCACAGCTCTAGAAACTCGATCAGCTGAACCAAGAAGGGTCTACGAACTGGCTGGGAAAATGAAAGGTAAGAAGCAGAGCAGAGGGAAGGGTCAGGGATGGGCCAAGACAGAGGAGGACACTTTAGACAGCGCGTCCTGTGGGTTAAACGGCCCTGGGTGAGGACTTAGAAGAACTGGCTAGATAACTGAATTCTGACATAAGTTAGCCATTTGTCTTGTAGCTATTTGAGGCTGTTTTCTTATGTGTAGTTTGGAAATCATAACCTGTTCCAACTCCCTCATGGGATTGAAGGGAGGGTGATGACTGTGCACATACTGTGAAAATGTCAACCTCTGCTATGTGCTGAAAGTACTGCGATGAGGGTCACTCACCCATCTTCAGGAGGGAGTATATCA